CTGAATTGGGGGCCGACGGCACAGTCTGGCGCGCAAGACCTTCCCCTTGTAAACAAAATCCAGGTGCGAGCCCTGGGAAAGGGGCACTTCAGTTGCACAACACATCTAATACCGCGCAGTTTGGGTGGTCAACCATCGAGTTCCTTAGAAATGAGAACTCGACAATCATTGTAGGACTGTTCGCGCACAGATGCTCGCGAGTCATTAAGCATGTATCTCCCAAACCCTCGATGACCGCCCTCTCGGTTTTTGGTCGTACCTTCTCGGGGGTATATCTTCCTTCCCTGCTACGTGTAACGGGCGCGGCTTTCAAAAACTGGAAGAGCAGAAATAATGGAAAAGGGAGAGAGCGAGGATAATGTGAGTGGAGGCCGGAAGTGTGGGGGGATGGGGGCAAGAGGGAGGAAGGGGGAAGACGGAGGACGAGAGGGATCAGCAAGAAGGAATATCAAGAGGGGGTGGGGAGGAAGTCTCAGACGAGAGCGCGGTTCCTGAGTAAATTCTGAGCTCGGAGAGCGGTTCGTTGATACATCGTTGGGAGTTGTGGGCGAGAGCGGGAGTTTTGGATGATAAGTTGCAAGAGAGTTTTAGCGAAATCCAGATTAATCAAGAGGTTATCAAGAGGGGGGTGGCGAGGAAGTCCCTGGCGAGAGCGCGGTTCCCGGGAAAGTTACGAGCAAGAGTTCGCGGAAGAGCGCGATGGACAGTGGCGCCCCCCCCCCTTTGGGTGGCGACGCGGGCGCGGGCGAGGGCCGGCGATTGCAAAGGATAAGGTTGCGCCCCGGGGTGTGGTTTGCGATCGGCACCGTTGTGGCCTTGAGGGCCAACGACAGGGTGGGATAGGCATACGGGGGGACCATCGACCCCCAATCATATATATATATATACACACATACATGCATACATATGTACGTGTGTATCTTTATATATGTACACATGCACACACACATTTATATATATATATACATACATACATACATACATATATAATTATATATGTATCGCCGATAGGGGCCCGATGGCTCCAACCCGCCCAGGAAGGTGCGGTGTCACTATCGGGGGCACATCGCCGATCTATCGACGATGGATCGTCGATTCCAGGTCGATGCATCCCCCCGATGTCAGTCCCCCATGTCGTTGCCTCGAAGGCCTGGGGAGCACGACGCTGTCCTCGCCAGGTCTCCCCCATGGCAGGGCGGAGAGCTTTGTCGAGGTCCTCACCCGCCCCCCCCCCCCCCCCGGGTACCGGTTGCAAACCACACCCGTTTGCACACCACACTCTTCGGAGTCGCCGAGAGGGGAGGGGGGGTTAGACAGGGAGAGGAGGATTTCTGAAAGTGAGAGCGCGTGCTGACCAGCTCACTGATCAGGAGGGGCTTCCGGCACCACACCGCTTGCGCGAGGGCGCCTGCTCTGGAGGATTCTGGATTTCCGCCGCCCATGGTTAGCAACACCTCGCCTTCGTGGGAAGCGGACAAGACTGCCGAATGGCACCCACCAACATCCATACCAGGGTGGCTCGAGCAGACCCAACTTCCCCCAGGGTGCGTGCGGGTGCTGCCCCAGCCCGGAGGAGAGGAGGTGGCGGAGGAGGAGGTGGAGGAGGGCGGTGGAGAAGGAGGAGGAGGAGGAGAAAGGGAGGAGGAGGAAGGGATGCGGCATCAAAGGCTGATCACTCGCTCGGTGGCTGCGGAGGCTCCTCGGGGCCCTGGAGGAAGGTGGGAGGTGGAAGCGGAAGGAGGAGGAGGAGGCTTCGCAGCCGGCGGGGCCCCAGGGCTGTCACAGATGCGCTTGGGAACGCAAAAAAGGTCTGGATGGACCCCGTGAGCGCCCATGGGATTATTCACGAGCGAATGGCATGTCATCCCTCTCGCAGGCGCTTCTCACACCCAATTCGCGAGCTTTCCAAACAACACGTCGTCGCTTAGGAAAGAAGGGAACCATGTGAGGATGCACCCCTTGCGCAGCCAGTTTGAGAAAGCTCCTGAGAAAGCCCCACTGTCGCGTCCTCCGCATCCACTTTGCCATCCCCCCTCCTGTCCCTGCCACGCCTGCTCCGGTTCTGCGTTTGGTTTCTCACCCTCCTCTTCTCGCCCGCCCCGCTCCGCCGCCTCCACTCACGCCTCTCCTCCGCCTCATCCTCCCGCTGTCCCCCCACATCCACTCTCCTCCTCATCTTCCTCTTCGCCCCCTTCCTCCTCTTCCTCTTTGCCCCCATCTTCCTCCTTATCCTCAGCTTCGCTCCCATCAATCCCTATCCCTTCAAGTTACAGAACTCATCCCTGTCGCAGCACCAGGCGTGTCCATCGGCTGAGCCAGGCGAATCACCGGAGACCTTCCTGCAATTGAGCTGACACGATTCGCCGAGGGGATCCCAGTATGTCTATGGATTGTCTTGTGAGTTCCCTGCGAACGAGCTTCTGAGTCTGCTGAGCGAGGCTGGGCAATTGAGTGTGAGTGGATCTGACTGTAAACGAGTGTGGGCATGGGCATGGGTGGGCCATGAGGCCTGGGAGACGTCGCAGGTCGGCCTCACCTTGGGAGGATCAAATGCCAGGCTTGCTACATCGCGATCAGCATGAGGCCTTGGAATGAAATGCGTCTATGTCCCCCAAAGGGGCCATTCTGAATGAGAGGTCCCGACAGTCTGAGCGGGAACGGGCCCGTGATACACTTTTGGTCGGCTCACCCTTTGTGTAGTGTCGTGTATGCTACTTCGCGGTGAGCATGAAGCCCTGAAGAGACGTCTACCCCTCCCCACGCACACACACACACAAACGCACACACACACACACACACGCACGAAAGCCGTTTTTGTTGCCGCGGCGCGGCGGAAGCGATCCGCTCGCGCGTCGAGCAGCCCGGGCTACGGCTCTGGCGGCGGGCTGGGCAGGCCGGCACAGCGCGGCGGGCACCGAGGCAGACGCCCGTATGCGAGCCAGCGCTTCCGCGCAGGGCGGGTGGCAGGGCGGGGGAGCGACACCAGGCAGCAGGTCAATGCAGGCCGGGCGGGGGCGAGGCACGGGGGCGGAGGAGCAAAAGCAAAAGCCATCCCAGGGCCAGCGCACGCAACACAGCCAGGGAGCGGGCGGCGCCCAGTGTAAGTGGAGCGCCGGCGTGGGCTCCCAACAGAGGGGGGGCAAAGGCGGGAGGAGAGCGTCAACGGCGGTGTCCCCCAGGTGGAGGCAGTAAGAGCTGCCGGCAGGGGCGGCGGCCAGCCGGCAGAGCCAGAGGGCGGGTGGGCAGCGAACGCACCGCACCCGCTGAGGTGGGCCCGGGGCGCTGGCGCAAAGCGGCGACCGGCGGCGGGCAAGGCGAGCGCTGCAGCACAAAGGAGCGTCGCCAGCGAGGGGTGGGGGAGCGGCTCGAGCCCCACACACACACACACACACACACACACAAACACACACACACACAAACACACACACACAAACACACACACACACACACAAACACACACAAAAGAACAACAACCTAAACACACACACACACAACACACTCACACACGCATACATTTGTGTATATACATACAGACTGAGACATATACACTTGCAGACACATACATATATGAATATAAATACAAACATAATCACACACAAAGGAAACGGATTTGCGATTATGCTAGAAAGGTCCAGACATTTTCCGCAGCAGCAGGCCCGTGATACATCGTTGTTCGATTCATTTTTGAGCAGGCTCGGACGAGCTGCCCAACACAGTGATCATAGGGCATTGAAATTACACTCACACCCAGCAAAAATTGCTACTCTGCTGAAGAAGCCCCGACAAAATGAGCAACAATGGGCCTGTTATACACCTTTGCTCGGCTCCCCCTTGGCCAGCTCCAACGCCATGTTTGCTACATCGCGGTGATCATGGGGCCCTGACAAGACACACATACCACGCACACACACACACACACACGCAATATCAGTTTGCTTGGGAGTGCCATGCCTGCTCCATCGTTGTGATCATGGGGCCCAGGATCGATACACGTCCATATCCCCCAAAAGGGGCCAGATTGCTTGACACGTCCTGACAATCTGAGCTGGAATGGGTCTGTGATACACCTTTGGTCGGCCCACACATTAGTTAGTTCCAGTGCCATGCATGCTACTTCGCGGTAATCATGACGCCCTGAAGAGACGCCTACCCCCACCCCACCCCACCCACCCCCCCACACACATTCAAACACACACACATGCACAAATGCACACACACACACACAGTCGGTCCCACACACCACTCTGCCCGAGAGGTCCGGACAACCTCAGCCGGAACAGACCTGTTTTACACCCCTGGTCGGCTCCCCCTTGGGAAGCTCACGCCACGTTCCTGCTACAGCGTGGCGATCGTGGGGCAGAGACACGTCGACACCCCCAAAAAAGGGGGCCAGTCTGCACGAGAGGGCCCGACGCTCTCCGTGGGAACGGGCCCGCGCAACACCCCTGGTCGGTTCGCCTTTGGGCAGCTCAGGCGCCATGCTTGCCGCGTCGCGGTGAGCATGTGGCCCAGAAGAGGAGGAGGAGGAGGGGGAGGAGGAGGAGGAGGAGGAGGAGGAGGAGGAGGAGGAGGAGGAGGAGGGGGAGGAGGAGGAGGAGGAGGGGAGGAGGGAGGAGGAGGAGAGGGAGGAGGAGGAGGAGGAGGAGGAGGAGGAGGAGGAGAAGGAGGAGGGGGAGGGGGAGGAGGAGGAGGAGGAAGAGAGACACGCTTCCCCCAAGAAGGGACCATTCTGCCCGAGAGGTCTCGGCCGTCTGAGCGCGAGCGGGCCCGTGCAACACCTCCGGTTGCCCGTTGTGCCATCGCGCGTGGGTCAGGAGGAAACAAAAAACACAGACACAAGTAATCGTCGATTCCCAGGAAGATATGGGAAAATATGGGAAGTTTGGGGGGGGGCAAAAGCCCAGAAAATATTGGAAAATATGGTGAATCCTTTTGATTTGTGTCTATTTATTTGTGTGTCCCAGGGCCCCTTCATTTTCGTCGCTCCAATGCCATCGCAGGCGCGCGACGTGGAGGCGCACGCCCACGTCAGCTACAGCGACCTGCTCGCGAGCCTCCCAGAAGATCGCGCCTTCGGCAGCCAGGAGCCGCCCGCGGGCCCAAGGGTCGACGAAGAGGCAGCTGCACGAGCATGGATATATCCGGAGTTCCTCGCGGACTTCTGGGACCTTCGTTGGGCCCAGGCAAATGCTTGTGCTCATTAATGAGGCTGTTCCAAGATTTCGCGCCGTCGGGCGAGCCCAGGACCAGGACCAGGACAAGTCTGTCCAGAGCGTGACAGCAGTCTCCCGGCGCGTTCCAGAGCGCTCCAGAAAGGCCACGGCGCCCGATGCAGCATCCTCGTGCACTGCCGGATCTCAGAGATCCTCGATCCATCCCGATCCGATCCTGTCCTGGTTCTGGTTTCGTCTGATCGGGGTTGAGAGTGCCCACGAGCTTCAGACAATCCCTGCTGGCTGGTCCCGTGTGTGGGAACCACGGGGAGCCACCCCCGCCCTTCCCCCTCCATCCTGTGACCCGGGCTTGGGCGCTGTTCCGTCGCGGGCCCCAGACATGGCCCCGGCTGGTCGCCGTTTGTTTGTTCACTTTTTCGCCGATGGGCGCGGGCCCCGAGCCTCCACCCCCCCTCCATGTAGACCAGATCTTGGCTGTTTTTGGCGACCGGTCGGGACCCCTTCCCCCCAATCTCTTTGCGCGACTGGAAAAAAAGCAGGTTGTTTAAGCACTGGCCCAGAGGCAGACTCTCCCACGCCCACCCTTAGGCCAAATGTCGAAACCCAGGATTTTGAATCATAGTATGCAAAAACGCCTACCTGACCCGGGTTTGCCCTGGCCCTCAGCCCGATATCGTACGGTGCATGCTGCTGCACGGTCAACCCGCATAATAAGGACGTGCGGTAAGGATGCAAGGGCCGTGGAGGGCCATGTTGACGCTGTTCGAACGAGGTTGGCCAGCGAAAGCGGCCAAGGCTGGGCCGAAGGGGAAGGGTGCAGGGGGTAACCGTGGAAAGTCGCAGATCCGTACTGTGCAGGCTGACGGCATCGTGGTGCAACAAAACAGTTGCGTTGGCGCGCGAAGCCGCCGTCGCGCTCGGGCGGGCGCCTTGGGGGAGGGGATGGGCGGGGGCGCCCAGGGTGAGCGCCCACGATAGTACTGCTGCCTTGGGGCAGAGAGCAGTGAGCGCAAGCGGGGTTCCAAGCTGCAGTGGCGAGCTAGTGCACACCTCGCGCGCCAGCACTCGTTTCATGCTGAGTATGTTGTTCCTGTGTGTGTGTTGTTTGTGTGTGTGTGGGTCTGTGTCTGTGTGTGTCTGTGTGTGTGTGTCTGTGTGTGTCTGTGTGTGTGTCTGTTTGTGTTTGTGTGTTTGCGTGTGTGCGTTTGTGAATGTTTGTGTATATTTGTGTGTGTTGCGTGTGTGTCGGTGTGGGTCTGTGTGTAATTTTGTGTGTGTGTGTGTCTGTGTGTATGCGTGTGTTTGTGTGTGTATGTGTGCGGTTGTGTGTGCTTGTGTGGTTATGTGTGTGGTTGCGTGTTTGTGTGTGTGTGTGTGTGTTTTGTGTGGTTGTCTCTGTGTTTGTGTCTGTGCTTGTGGTTGTGTTTGTGGTTGTGTGTGGTTGTGTGTGGATGCGTGTGCTTGGGTGTTTGGGTGTTTGTGTGGAGATGTGCGTGTGTGTGTGTTTGTGCGTGTGTGTGTGTTTGTGTGTGGTTGTGGTCCTTCGTTTGTGTTTGTGATTGTGTGTACTTGTATGTGGTTGTGTGTGTTGTTGTGTATCTGTGCGTGCCTGTGTGTGTTTGTGAGTGTTTGTGTGCTTTTGCGTGAGTTTGTGTGTGTGTTTGTGTGTGTGTTTGTGTGTTGTGTTTGTTTGTGTTAGTGCGTTTGTGTATTTATGAATGTTGTGTGTGCGTCGTGTGGTGTTTGTTTGCGTGCGTCGTGTGTGTGATTGCGTGAGTGCGGAGGGGGGTGTTTTGGGGATGGCGTCGCAGGTATGTGGTCACGCGATGCGTATGACCACAAATGTCGCACACAGATGATTTGTTGTGTCTCTTCGCTGCAGGTGGGGTGGGATCAGGCTGGGTGTTCTAATCGTCTGGACGGTCCCTAAAACCTTCAATCAAAATGCAATGTCATATCTTGGGGACGTCGTCGTCCTTTCTGCCAGCGTCCCGCCGGCTTCCGCACGTGGAGATGCCCTCGGCTTGCTTCGGCCAGCCTTCCGTCGCGTTCCGCCGAGGAAGAGACGTCAACCTCTGCACCTCTCGCAGGCCAGGCCCGCTCTGGAGTGCCCCACCATCTCCGGAGCGGATCTCTCGAGGGCGAGGTCGGCGCAGGGCCGACGCGGGGCCAGAGGCCCACAGGCGAGGGGCCACCGCACGCGCCCCCGTCGCGCTGCGCCTGCACAGCGCGCAGCAGCAGCGCGTCGACGGCGGGCGCCTCGCGAGGCATCGACGGCGGGCTCCTCGCGAGGTGGCCCGTCGCCGCGGGAGCAGCCGCCGAGGCCTCGGCCACGCTCCGCCAACCATCCCCCTTTCCTGGATCTAACCATGCTGGTGTTCCTCCTCCTGCTCCCCTTCCCCCTGGTTCCTGCTCCTCTCCCTCCACCCCCCTCCTTCTCCCTCCTCCTCCTCCTCCTCCTCCTCCTCCTCCTCCTCCTCCTCCTCCTCCTCCTCCTCCGGCGGCAAGCGCTTGGTGCGTTGGACCCGCACGGCAAGAGCGCAGAAGCACGACCGTATGAGCAGAAAGATATGTTCTCTTGCACGCGTCACTCGCAGGTACGCCCCCATGCCCAGGCTGGAGCTTCAAGGGGTACAGACAGCAGGCACGCACGGCCACGAGATTCGTGGTCTTCTCGGGCAGCAGATGGTGCAGGCCCGACGGAAGTTAACCAATGCCAGCAGTCCGAGATTGACGGGCAGATGCTTGACTACACTTCTCGACCTACGTGCGCATCGACGGGATTTTGCATACCCATTGCCGATCAGCTGCTTGCGTTTGTGGTTACCTTGTTGGACCACCGTGCCGTCCATACGCTCGGGGATCAACAGGCTGTGGGGTGATCCCACGAAACAGTTACGAACGTATCCTATAAGCTGCCGTCACCGTCACATCCGCGGTCCCCAGGGCGCTGTGATCACGTATCTGCTTGAGGCTGGGTGGAACCTAATTTCGCCTTCAATGGCAAGTACCCGACGACGGCAGCGGTACGCAGCACAATTGGCAATGTCGGGCTGACAGTTTGATCGACGCTAATAACATTGACATGCCCTTGGGTTTCTTCGACGATTACACGGCCACCGTGCAGAAGCATGTGTGGCATGAAAGTTCGGAGCGCTTGGATGGAGCAGGCATGGAAGGAGGGGCACCAAACGCAGCTTACAAAGCACTGCTGCACACGCTGGAGCTGGAGGCAGCCCCTGGTGGGCGGAGGTTGGCTGGGCTTTTACTTGCAGCTGCAGTCCAGGCTGCTTGGCCCCGCACGCGTACGCAGGAGCGTATCAAACAGTTCCTTTTCATTGGTATGCCCTCTCTGCCGAGATGCGAACGACTGCTCTCTCCATCGTGTTTGGGAGCGTCCCGGTAGAATGGATCGCGAGACATGAATTGACGGATGAGTTCATACGGCGAGCTCGAGCTGACAGGGAGGAAGAGACATGTTTTTGGACACGTGGTACGATACCGTCCTCATGGCTGGATATCCCCCCCCCCGCCGCAGGAGGAGAGCTGGACATGTCGTGGTACCACCGAATATCATGATTGTTTCGTGGGCGGCACGAGTGACGACCCTGGTTTTTCTTTCGGTGATGCTAGCGCAGGGCCCGGTAGCCTGTCGGTGGCGCTTCGCAGAGTGGGCCTGGGCTTCGTTTTTGTTTCGTCTGCATGCTGAGCTGCCACCATGCCTGAGTTGTGGGTCTGAGGTCTATTGTATGTGTAGTGGGATGTCGTGGGGAGCCCCAAGAGGGCCTCTTGGAAGCGGTTTGGGCGCCTCTTGGGGGCCTCTTGGGGACTCATGGGGTATCTGTTGGCCTCTTGGAGGCCTCTTGGGCGCCTCTTGGGCGCCTCTTGGAGCCTCTTGGGGCCTTTCGGCGGCCTCTTGGGGCCTCCTGGGGATTTCTCGGGGCACAATATTGAGTGCTCGGTTCGTGGCCCCTTGCTTGGGCCCCCCTGGGGGCCGTCTTGGGGCCCTCTTGGGCCGTCTTGAGCGTTTCTTGGGCCGTCTTGAAGCCCTCTTGGGCCGTCTTGAGGCCCTCTTAGAGGCGTCCCAGGGCACAAATATCGAGTGTTCGGTCGTGGTCCCCTGCTTGGGTCCCTCTTGGGACCGTGTTGGGGCCCTCTTGGGCCGTCTTGAGCGTTTCTTGGGCCATCTTGGAGCCCTCGTGGGCCGTCTTGGGGCCCTCTTGGAGGCGTCTTGGGCTGTCTTGGGGCGGTCTTGCGAGCTTCTTGGCTGTCTTGGAGCGTTGGAACGCCGAAAATGCGAGAAGGCCAAAATCCTTCAACAACTTCTTTTTGACATCTGCGAGTGTGGCCTCTTGGGGCTCTCTCGGGAGGACTCTTGCAGCGTTCTTGGGGCCTCCCTGGGCCCTTTTGGGCCGTTTTGGAACCACTTTCGGGCGCCTTGGAGCACTCTCGGCCTCGGCAATGCGAATACGGCGTAATTTGCGCAGGTTGACGGTTTTGGGGGCGCGACTATTGCGTGATTTTCGAGGGTTTGTTGTTTCGGGGACGCAATATTTGCGCAAGTTACGAATGTCTGTGGCCTCGGAGACGCGAACATTGTGCAATTGACAAAGGATTATGGCTTCGGGGACGCGAATCTTATATATTGTCACGTGTTCCACGCCCCCCTGGGAATTCAGAGAACGCGATTTGGGCATGCTAAATTAAATCATTTGGGTATCCCTCCCCTCGCGCGGACTTCAACAGTTTACAGTAGGAAGCAGAAAGCAGGATTTTAACATTGGAGACCTGAAACTGCAACTGGCGCAGGGAGGAGCAACTTCGTCCTACAGCCTGGTGCCCCCACAAGGGGGCCAGATGATTATTTGTTTTTTATTTGGTTTCTATTATCTTATGATCTCTAGCATTTCTCATCTTACTATTATTATTCGTATTATCATTATTCTTATTATAATTTGTTTATAATATTTCCCCTACTATTCGTAGTTCCTGGCCGCCCGTTCTTCCCAGAAGCAGCCGCCCGCCTGCGGCGCAGCACGCGGCGAGGACCTCGCGCAGCACCTGGCCGCCAGCGCCGGCAAGGGCACGCCGCTGGCGAACGACGGCGAGCTCTCGCCGATGAAGACCGGGCGCCTCGAGGCCCCCTGCCGCGCCCCAGGGATCGACGACTACAATCCAGACGTGCGCGCGTCTTGAAAAAGTCTGGACGGGAGGCTTTTCGCTGTTTTCGGTCCTTCAGGGCCCTCACCGGGCCCCAGGACCGCCAGGCAATTGCTCGGGATGGACAACCGGTCCCGGGGGAAGGTGGACTTCCTGGGGCTTCGGGGGCACCACGTTGCCCTCGTCGGGCCGCCTCGGGGCGCGGCGGAGATTTCTGTCGAGGTCTGTCGAGGTGCGTGCGTGTTGCAAACCATACCCCTTGCAAACTACACCCATCGGAGTCGCCGACCTTTCTCCGCGCGGCAGGGAGGGGGTTCAGCGCAGAGCCAAGAAATCCGCGGGGATGTTCAAAAGCTTTTATGGTTACGCATTTTGCTCTTCCATTCTGTCCGGCGGGGAGCTCGCTGCGTTGGCCGCTTCCGTGGGCGACGAGGTCGTTGCGGGCTGTTTCCGCTGCTCGCCCAGGTCCAGAGATGTCCATTGGACCACGCTGAAGCACTGGAGCAGGAGGAGCAGGAGGAGGAAGAAGAAAAGCAGGGGGAGTCAGCAGAGTAGGAGGAGGGCTAGGCTGAGGAGGAGGGAGGAAGACGAGGAGGATGAGGGGTTCGAGTTCGTCAGGGATCTGTCCTGGAGCGGAAACGGCTCCTCCTCTGCCGCCGGGCGTGCCTCTTTTCGCAGTCTGTCGCGCGGCCGCACGCCAGGTCGATCTGGCGATCGCCCCCGCGACCGTTCGTGCATCGAAGAGGCTGTATCGAGTTCAAACTGGGCTGAGTCAGACCTGTGCTCGCTCACGGTAAGCACCTCTTCCTGCCGCCCCCTTTTTTTCATCCTTGGAATTTACAGACCGCCTCAGACCCTGCACTCGCCCAGGAGTGATTGTGTTCTTGGATTGTGTTCGCGGGCAGGTTAACATGTGAACCCTCTCCATGTTCCTCCTTGATGCCGATGATGATAATGGTGATGCTGATGATGATGATGATGCTGCTGCTGCTGCTGCTGCTGATGGTGATGATGATGATGATGATGATGATGATGATGATGATGATGATGATGATGATGGCGGTGACGGCGATGAGGATGATGCTGGAGGGGGCACCAAAGGAGAAGAAGCCGAAGGGCAAGGGCGGAGGCGACGGCGGGAACCATGGTGGCGGCGGCAAGTGCGCGGGAGGCATAGCCGACCTGTGCAAGGCGACAGCGAAGCTCTCCATGGCGACAGCAAGGCAGGTGGCTGCGCTGGAGGCGTGCTTCTACGACGACGCGGCATTAATCGAGGCCGAGGGCATGCTGGGCGACGTGTTGGTGCAAGGAGGGCAAGAGTACGACGCGGAGAGCAAGGAGATGAAGGCCAGGCAGACAAAGGGCGAGACAGTGGACTTCAAGACGCGGGGCAGCCCTCACATTCGCCTCTTCTGCAAAGCGGTGCTCCCGGCAGTGAAGCGGACGGGACCACAGGGCGACGCGGCGACACAGAACCCGACGGCGCACAAGATTCTCATGCAGTACTGGAAGGAGTGCGTGATGGTGATGTCCCCCAAGCAGCTGGAGTACGATTGCTTCCAGTTCCGCTACCGCAAGAGCAGGGCGGGCGACGACAAAGAGAAGAAGTTCGGCATACTGTCGATGGCCTTCGCGAGTCAGGGATCGGGCTCAATGGTGGGGCCCACAATGTGGACGTACATCAAGGAGCTGGAGGCGGACAGTGTGCTCACGGGCGCGGTTCCGCAGGGGCCACTCGAACGAGAGACACCGAGGTGCTTGGCGGCGGTGACAGGCAAGGCAAAGGGGGCCTGAACGGTCTTGAGAGCAGCGCGAGGCTGCGAGACTTGATTGAGCGAGGGCTTGTCCCGCCTAGCGTGCTGCCAGGACATGGAGCGGGCCGATCACTTCAGACTTATAGATCGCCCTTGCTTCCGCAGATTCCTGTGGCAGTGCTGCCTAGAAGAGGAAAAGGTCGGGGCCGTAGTCGGGGGGGTCGTGGCCGGGGGAGGGCGGGGAAAGGAAACGGCGAAGGCCAGCCAGGATAGGAGTGGCTTGGGCTCGCCCCGCTGTGGCTGTGGGCGGGGGCTGCTGATCAAATCCCCGTTCGGGGCCCGACTATCAGTGCCTGCCCAAGGCTGCTGCGGGGCGAGCTGCGCCGAGAGTTCGGAGGGCGGTCTTCCGAAGTGGGGCACCCACCTGGCTGCGCGCCGTTACGGGTGGGCCTCCCTGCATGGAGGCAGCGCGGGCTTGGACCCGAGTTGCCAGGCCTCGGAAAACAAATTTTTCCGTCCGGTCCCGAAAGCGATGCTCCGAGGCCCTGGTGTTTCCAGAGCCCCCCTCTAGAAGACCGCCTCCTGTGGAGCTGTTCGATTCGATTCGATGATGATGGTGCCGATGCTGATATCAATACGGAGATGACGAGTGTGTCCCCGACTCAGCTAGCGGGAAAACCGCTGCGAAGAAGAGCTGGCCCCCGCCCCGTCTCCTCTTCCGCACGATGCGTTCCAGAAGAGGTATCCGCCTTCGGCGCATCTTGCCTTCAGCGGAGGCCAGTGAAGAAGGGGGCCCGCCGGCAGCGGACGGCAGAAGCAAAAACAAGACGCCAACATGGTCGGTGCATTGTCTTCCGGAAACGGCCCCATGGGATGGGGTTGGGCGTCGGAGACCGAGCAACAGGCGACATTATCCGAACAGTACCGTGTCGGAAAAGCGGCACCCTCCAACGGGGAGGACGGACAGGAAAAGGGCGACGGCGACGAGAAGGACGAGTTGGAGGCAGAGAACCCATGTTCTCGACATGCTTGAAAGCGGCTGCGCCATTGGTGGTGTGCCGTGGTTTGTTCATCGTTTTTCCGCCGCCTCTTCGCTCTCCTTCCGTACCCTCGTGGGCCTTGCCAGGATGGTTATGTATGTGTTCCGTTGTTTTTCACGCCCGCCCCATGCAGTCCATTCTTCAGTGTCGCGTGTGATACTCCAATAGGCATATGCTATCACTTGCACTGCAGTATCGTCCTCCCGCCCGCGAATATGCTCCCATCCGTCCCGTACCCCTCCTCCGTCCTCCAAAAATCCTCTTCGTGGCCGCCTCGCCCGCTTCCTCCATCAAGCCCATACGGGTGATGATTTCCAGCCCATGCGGCGATAGTTGCAGTTGTTGATGAGCACATTAGTCGTTACACTGCTAGTGCAAGGCTCGCGGAGGTGCGTATTCACGGCGGGCTCGTGTGTGTCATGATTGTTCTAGCATTGTTGCGGTTAGGCCCAAGAGGAGGAGGCAGAGGAGAAGGAGGAAGAGGAAGAGGAGGAGGAGGAGGAGGAGAGGGAGGAGGAGGGGGAGGAAGAGGAGTAAGAGGAGGCAGAGGAGGCGCAGGAGAAGCAGCAGGAGGTTCTGCAGCCCGCGTCTGCGCCGCCAGGCTCCCTGGACGGTGAGCGATCTTGGATCTGGGTTCGGCAGCGCGCTCGGCGGGGACAGGGGGTGAGGAGAGGAAGGGGCAGAGGAACAGGAGGCAGAAGAGGAGGAGGAGGAGGAGGAGAAGGAGGAGGAGGATGCAGAGGAGGAGGGGGAGGAGGAGGAGGAGGAGGAGGAGGAGGAGGAGGACGGGAAGGGGAAAATGAAGAGGATAGGGATGATGAGGAGAGGTGGGAGAGGAGGAGGAGGAGGAGGAGGAGGAGGAGGAGGAAGAGGAGAAGGACCTCCATCACCCCAGTCCTGCGGAGCACTATCGCCTCCATCGTTCCCCTCGCGGACCCCGGCACGCATGCCTTGCGTCCTAGCGTGGTTCTCTGCACGTTGCAGCCCCTCGGCCGATATGTTAACCGCTGCGTGCTGAGTTCCTCGATGATTACTGCGTCGCTTAAGTCGGAGTTGGCCAGCTTGGGGATATCAGCCAGGCGCTACGATCCCAGTTGATCGAAGCTTGCCTAGCGTCAAAAATCGGCAGCGAGCCCGGGGGCGAAGTGAGAAGGAGAAGGCCTTCTCAGAAGGCTCGGAGGTTCCCTGGCCTTCTGGGAATTGTTCTGAGCCTTCCCCGAAGACAGAAAAATTGTTCAGAAGGCGCGAGGGATTCTGAGAAGTCCGGCCGCCGTCTGAGAGGGCCTTCTCCCTCTCAGTTCCCCCCTCTCGCTCGCCGCCGAAACGGGGAGCAGGATCCCTCTGGAGCCCCGACGCGCCGCTGCCCATGGGCAGGGACTGTGCGGCGAACGCCAGGCGTCGCCGTCCTACGGCGGGTCCTGCGCAAGGCTAGGAGCTCACTTGGCTGCCCCGTCCTTTGGGGACTCGCCTTTGCTGGGCCCTAGCTCGAAGAAGAAAAAACGCCATAAACACAAATTGTTGGCGCTCTGCGCGGATTTCTTGGATCCGCGCTGGGGCCCTCCGGGTGGCGCCTCCTGCGCCGCCCCTGGCGCGCTCCGCGCGCCAGGGAGGAGGGTCCAGCGCAGATCCAAGAAATCCGACCAGAGCGCCACAAGTTTATGTTTATGGCGTGCGTGTCTTCTTCGGTTAGCTGGGTTGCTCGCTCTTCCTGGCCGCTGCTGCTTCCTCACGCGCTGTTCCCGCCCAGTCCGTTGCTGCCGGCGTCTGCTCTCGGATAGGCTGCATCGTGCATGCCTCTAGTCAAAGAGAAGAGGGAGGAGGAGGGGGAGGGGGGAGGTGAACGGAAGGAGTTGGATCCGAATTGCTAAGCAGCATCAACAGGAGTGAGCTGGGACCCAAGCCGTGCTCCACACGTCTCAGGCTTTTTCGTCTCGTCATGGTGGCACGAGTTGGCATCAAGGTGACAAGTCTTGGTTCTGGACTCTGGGGGCTTGGGTCTTGTCGCTCGTCCTGGGTCGTTGCTCCCCCTCCCATGGCCCGGGAACGGCCCCCAGAGGCAGCAACTTGCAGCAACAATTACAAACGCAATGTGACAAAAACAATGGGAAATACCAAACAAAAATGGGAACACTTACAAGTATCAGATGAACAGAAAACATAATACGAAAATGGGACCTAACAAACAAAATATAGCCTGGCGAAGGGCCCAACCGTAAGCAGTGACACGTACCGCAGTTTGAGCATCTAGGTGGATCCTCCTACGCGGCCACGACACGTTTGAGGGGTATGCCAAAGTGGCCCGTCGGCGGCAGGCGGCCTTTTCCACTGGGGCGTTCCGTGGAGCTTCCCATGGGGCCACGAAACGTGCAAGGGGTGTTCAGAAATGGGGCGGCACCGACATGCGAACCCTGCCGCTGCGGCCTTCGGTGGTGCCGCTTAAAGCCACGAAACGTGCGAGGGGTGCGACAAAATGTGGGATGGAACCGCATGCGGGCGCTGCCACTGGGGCCTCAGGTGGAGCACCCTGTGAGGCCACGGAACGCGTGAGGGGTTCGCCGAAGTAGAGGGGTGGAGTCGCATGCGAACGCAGCCACGGGGGCCTTCGGTGGAGCTCCCTATGGGACCACGAGATGCGAAGTGGCGGCATGCGAAATGGCGAAGTGGCGGCATGCGGGCCCTGCCACTGGGGCCTTCGGTGGCGCTCCCTACGGGGCTACGAAGCGTGTGAGGGGTGTGCCGAAATGGCGAAGTGGCGGCATGCGGGCCCTGGCACTTGGGCTTTCGTTGGGGATCCCCATGGCCTTGTGGGGCCACGAAGCGTGTGAGGCGTGTGCGGCGTGTGCCGAAATGGCGAGGTGGCAGCATGCGGGCCCTGGTATTGGGGCCTCCGGTGGAGATCCCTATAGGGCTACGAGGCGTGTGAGGGGTGTGCCGAAATGACGAGGTGGCGGCATGCGGGCCCTGGCACTGGGGCCTTCGGTGGAGCTCCCTATGGGGCCACGAAACGCTGCACTCGGTGTGCCGAGACAGAGACATGCGGAGGGCAGAGGCAAGGAGGAGGAGGAGGAGGAGGAGAGAGGAGGAGGAGGGAGGAGGAGGAGGAGGAGGAGGAGGAGGAGGAGGAGGAGGAGGAGGAGGAGGAGGAGGAGGAGGAGGAGGAGGAGGAGGAGGAGGAGGAGGAGGAGGAGGAGGAGGAGGAGGAGGAGGAGGAGGAGGAGGAGGAGGAGGAGGAGGAGGAGGAGGAGGAGGAGGAGAGGAGAGGAGGAGACGCGGGGCGCTGTCCCTTCAAAACGAGGGCCCCACAGCGCAGGATGGCTGGGAGCAGAGAGCGGCCACGCGCTCCCGCGGGACCCGCCTCTGCTCCAAGGCCGCCGGAGCGCAGCCCGAGGGGCGCGGGCACCAGAGCGCCTCGGCGGCCCGGTCGCTCGGGGCCGAGGGTCGCCCGAAGAGGGGGGAGCGAGCGGAGGGCCACCGCTTGCCGGGGCGATCGCCAACACGGGTCAAAAGGGGGCGTGGATCAGCGACGGGTCCCGTTTCTGGTGAGGACCCGCAGGACGCAGTGCGCTGCCATGCTGCCCCGGGGGCAGCAGGGGCCGAGTACTCTCGGGCGGACGGAAGCCAGGGGGGGCCTCAGGCGATCGCAAACATGGATTGAGGGGGCGTGGATCAGCGACGGGCTCCGTTTCCATGGGAAGTCGCAGATGTCCGCCGCCGGACGAGGCGGAACCGGCCGCATTTTGGGGAGGGCGCCTCCCCGGGTCCATGGATTTGGCGACCGCGCGTCGAGTCCACGGATCGTTGATCCGTGTGTGCGCGCCCCCGGCACTGCGGAGAGGCGTCCAGGCCGTTGCGTTGCCCTGTCGTGGCGCCAACCTCGTAGAGTGGGCTTCGTTCGAAAAACATCAGGGTGGGCCTTGGAGTGCCCTGCAGAATTTCGCTCCAGATTTGGAAGCGAATTTCGTGCGGAATTGTTTGGGGCCAGGAATGAGGGGTACAAAGAATCCGCGTGAAATTCTCTTGGTTGTCCGCTCGCCGTGTACGGGCTTCGCGTTGACAGAGGTCCACATAAAAATCCGCTGCAGCACGTCAACAAGGTCGGTGCAATGAGCCATGTCGCGCCCCTGATCGAGTTGCCATGCATGCTGCAAAGTACACAAATCAGCGAGCCAGCTACAGGACACATCAGTTGCTGCGGCTACAGGCGGAGGGGAAGTGCACACAGCGCCGAGGCGCACACGTGGCCATTGCAACTGCATGCGTGCCGAGATCTCTCTCAGGCAAACGGTCGCGGCAGACAGTGCGGTGACCCCGACCTGGGAAACCGAGCGCGCGGGTAATGCGCGGAAGCCCGTCGGAGCGACTGAGAACGCACTGGCGCGCACGCTGCCCGCGTAAGACCGCGCGCAGCCCGCGTAGGCCACCGAGTGAGGCCGCCAGATGTCGCCTCGCGGAAGGCACGCTTCTTCTCGCCGCTCCGCTGGGACCAAGCGGACGAGACCGCGGCCTCGGGATTGTGAAGGCCTGACGTCCGGTGCCGCCGACCCTGAAAGACATCGACGACGACCAGGAGGAGGAGGAGGAGAAGGAGGAGGAGGAGGAAGAGGAGGAGGCGGAGATAAGGAGGAGGACGAGGAGGAGAAGAAGGAGGAGGAAAAGGACCCCCCCCGGGCCCCCCCCCCCGGCCGCGGCCTCGGGATCTACGCTGTCTGTTGTGTCGAGGCCCGCGGCCTCGGGATTGGTCGGGCGGCCGAGGGTGCCAGAGCGTCCGAAAGTTCGAAAATTAACGGGCGGGTCTTGGAGGAAGGGGGGGCTGAAAGTTTGCTGCCGTTGTCGGTCTCCCATGGCCCTCCGCGGGCCCCAGATCCTTCAGTAAACAGCTCGGTGTGCAGAGCTGGTCCCAGTCGTGGCCCACCCCCATCATCATCTCAGACTTGCCTCTCTCGAGGCAGGCCTGCCCCGAGCCCAGGGCATCTTCTTCCACACACCCCATCCCTCCCCTTCCAACCCCCGTTTTCCCCCCTCAGATTCTCCCCTCCCTTCCCAGGGCCTCGGAAGATGTTGTATGCTACACGCTCGATCTCTCTTCAAAGCCACGCTTCACTGCATGAGTTTGCCTATCGCAGGTCGACTCGTATGGAATTCCTAGAGTGCCTGGCGACCTGTTTCGCACAAAGGTTGGGGCCGAGTCATGTGAAGTTCTATGGTCGCGGTTCCTCCTCAATCCCTCCCCTCTTCTAGCTGCTCTAAAGACAGGCTAGCCAGGGTCCTGTCAGTCTGGGTATCGTTCCGACGACGAAAACCAAAAAAACAATACCTCAAACGCTAACCGTTATCTTTTTATGTTTCTGATGCGCGCGCATTGAAAATCGAGCCGATCCCCAGTCGCAGAACTCCACGCACATACATACACACACATGGTTTGCATTTAGGGCTTCTTGTTTCTAGAGAGCCAGGCTCGGCCGTCGGTCTGGCGGCTATGTGGTCGCCGTCGCCGCCACGTCGCCGCCCGTTTTCTGGGTTTCCGCCAGGCGGCGATGATGTCGCCGTCGCCGCCCCGTCGCTCTGAGCCGGCCCGTCGGTCTGGCTGGTTGTGTGATCGCCATCGCCGCCCCGTCGCCGTCTGGACTTGCGTTTTTGTTTTTCACACTGG